CCTGGCACCGATAGCAGCTACCTCCCTGCACAGAGCTGTGGGCGCCATTGAACAACTCAGCGTGAAGACACTGAGGAAATTATAAGGTCTGAGGCCCACTGCGGGCATGACACTCGGCGCCAGTAGACCTGTGCATCAAGGAGGTAGCAATCAAGCGGCATCCAGGACAGGTCTGACCTCTGTCCAGTGTGGCTCATTACAGTCTCCCCAGCCCATCTGATGCAGTCTCCACACCAGCTCTTCCTGTGAGGGCCCCTACCCGCAAGGGGAGCCCCGCACAGCACAGCCCTAAGGAGGAAGGGCTCGCTGCTTCGAGGCCCCAAACCTGGCAGCCACCCTCCTGGGGTACACGGGGGCCTGGATTTGCTATTTGGCTCTCAGAATTAGGTAGAATGGAGATAGGAAGTGTTGCGTCAACTGATATCCAAGAACGTTTATGCCAATAAAACTCCTTACCTCATAAACTAGTGGACAGCTGCAAGATTACGTTCAATACAGCCAACCCGGCACCTTCCAGAGTTTAATAAGAGACTGCTCTAGTTTGGATCTGGAATGTCCCCAAAGGCCCATGTGTTGAAGGCTGAGTCCCCAGGGTGGTGCTATTGGGAGATGGTGGAAACTTCAAGAGCTGGGGCCTAGTGAGAGCCTTGAGGTCATAGATGTGCCCTCAGAGGGAATTGGGGGAGCCTGGCTCTTCATTTACCCTTTCCTGTCCCAGCCTGAGAGGAGCAGCCATGCTCCAGCACACCCTTCCCGTGATGTGCCGCCTCACCACAGCCCCAGAGCAGCAGGACCAACTGACGGTGGACGGGAACCTCTAAAGCTGTGAGTGAGGGGAACCTTTCTTCTTTTAAGTTGATTCTCAGATATTTTGTTACAGTAATGGAAAGCTGAATAATGAAAATACGCATAACATAAATTACCATTTTAACCATTTTAAGTGGACAGTTCTGTGGCAGTGAGTATGGTCACCTTGTTGTGCCACCGTCACCACTATCTATCTCCAGAACTTTTCCTCTTCCTCAATCAAAACTCTGTACCCATGAAATAGTAACTCCCCATTTCTCTATTCCTCCAGCCCCTGATCTCCCAGCATTCTACTTTCTACTTGAATTTAACCATTCTAAGTACTTCTTCTAAGTGGAAGAATACAATATTTGTCCTTTGGGGACTGGCTTATTTCACCTAGCATAATGTTTTCAGGATTTATCCATGCCGTAACAAGTGTCAGAATTTCCTTCCCCTTTAAGGTTGAACAATACTCCACCATATGTGTGTACCACCTATTGTTGGTCCATTATCCCTCAGTGGAAACTTGGGATGATTCCACCTCTTGTCTACTGTGAACATGAGTGTGCAAAGATCTGTTTGAGCTTCTGCTTTCAATTCTTTTGTTCGCTTTAAATTTTAAGACATGATTTTTTGGATGTCAGTCTTCATCAGCGGGTCCCTGGGCACCTTAGCTGGGAAGTAATTGGCATCTATCTCTTCCAAACAGTTACATCTTCCAGCATCCAGAGCACAAAAGAACAATAAGCAAATACAGGACCATGTCAAAATGCCTGTTGCGGTTGTCAGCTAAATCATTGGCAACGGGTAGATAAAAATGAGGTCCTATTCCATTCCCTTCCTATTTTGTGTGACCTGGGCCAGCATTAGCCAAAACATTTCTGCAGTGACAGATCCTGAGAAAGCACAGCCTCCAGTCAGTTACACCTCGCTTTTGAAGATAAAAGCATAAACAGGAACTGAGTTAATCCATTTCCCTGTTCTTCTAACTACATTTGCCACCAGTTAACTTTCCTATCCTCTATTTGTAATTTTCCTAAGCAAAATTCTCTCTAAGTAGACTATGAAGTCCTATTAATAATGCTGGTTATTTATGAAGGGTTATTTCAAGAAATAGGAAAATGTCATAATTTATAACTGATGGGAAGGAGGGCTCTCCACAGTGGGCTGTATGGTTTCTGAACAGTGACATGTTTTGCCTTTATTGTTACTCTGTGGCACTCATGTCGGGACCAGAGGGTGTCATGAGGCACAGGGGCAGCTTCAGAGTAGAGTGTGGGGTTGGGAGGCACCTAGCCTTTGCCTTGTGTTTGGAAATGAACTTGACTGTAGTAGCCATTGGTTCAGCATCTTCACTATGTTGGAAGTGAATTTGGAATTTGGGCATCACTGGCAATAGCTGAGCTCTTCCTCTTCCTAATGGAAATCACAGTCGCACTCCATGTCTTAGAACTAGGGCTAAGTAACTGGTGGAACACAGCTATGACTAGCTGGTATGGGTTGAATTTCATCCCCTAAAAAGTCAAGCCAAAGCCCTAACCCTGGTACCCGGGAATGTGACCTTATTTGGAAATTGAGTTTTTGAAGGTGTATTCAAGTTAAGATGAGGATGGTAGTGTGGGTCCTGTTCCAGTATGAGCTGGTGTCCTTATACCAAGAAATGCCACATGAAGAGAGACGTAACAACAGGCCTCAGACTGCAGCAAGGCAGCCGCCAGCCAAGGAGGGCCAGGGACGACAGCCCCCACCGCAGCCGCAAGAGGTGAGGAAGGGTTCCACCCAGCGTCTCGGGGTGCAGCAGCCCTGTTGACACCTTGGTTGTGAATTTCCAACCTCCAGATCTGAGAGAGAAGAAAGTTCTGTTGTCTTTAGCTCCCAGTTGGTGGAGCCCCAGGAAACTATGCTGGCCAAAGTTCAGGGCTATCTACTTGTTGAAAAGTAAGGATCTCTGAATTTGCAGTTCATTCTTCACATCAGAAAGCATGATCTTAACCCCAGAATCTGGGGCAAATCCAGACTCTAAGGGACGTTCCTATGCAAACAGAATCTGACTCTCACCCTCTTCCTATCTCACTTGTCTTTGGGGAAATTTTGTGGGATTTTCCTTTTCTTCGAAACAATTTAAATCCATATCATCTGAGCAGGGATGATCTAGATGCCCTCCATACTCCATTCTGGTGACTCAGGAAGTCCTGTGATCTCATCAGTGATGAGAGGAGACACCCATCCCTGATATGGATATACCTGTCCCTGTCCCTGGGCCCTTTACTTGGTGAGGAAGCTCTGAGACTGGGTGTCTCTTCATCTATTGCAATTGGGCCTGATCCTGGCTTCTTGCTTTGCTTAAACCCCCAGTGCCCTCCCCAGATGATGCCTTCAGAAGGCCCCAAGTCCCACACCAGCACCTTAGTGGCCAGGCACCCACACACTTCATCTCCTTGAAAGTGTAGCCCAAGCTCTCCTCCAACGGTGCCTATGATAGACAGGCCCAAGCCAGCACTCTGCACCCGTCAACCATCCTTCCAAACCCTGGGCTCTCTGCTCTTTGAACCAAAGACAAAGGAGCCCTTTGCCAGCTGACAACGCCTCTGCCAGCCATAGACAGAGAAAAGTCTCGTTTCCCTCACACCGTGGCTCCCATGACAGAGAGGTCTGGGGGAGAAGGGCTGGAGCCTCCAAGAGAAACCTTCCTGCCCCTAACTTCCCTGGCATGGCCAGCTGACCACACGCCCTGACAGGGCGGGGGAGGATCTGCCTCGCTCACCAGGCACCCTGGCGCTCCACAGGCTGGAGTTCAATACGTTTTGGATGAATGAAAAACAAATCAATATTTAGGCCAAGTCACGTGATGTCCCTGTAACTTTGCCCTGGGGCCCAGGAGAAGCTGTTTTATCCATCAGGAGCCTCAGGCCTGGGTCCTTACATACTTCAGGCCAGAACAGGAATGATTGTTCCAAAGAAAATCAAGATTAATAAAGGTTTAATGAAATAGCTACAAAACATAACATTACGTCCACCTCATTCGTTGTTTAATGAAATACTCCTAAACATATCATAAATAATAAAATAATTTAGAGTTTACCTTTCTCTCTTGACAGGATTTCCCAATACTCAATCAGTGCCAGGAAATCAAAGGCAGTTTTAAATTAAATGTATTACCTGTAGCCAAATCATCCCAAAGGCCAAATTACAGAAAGTCATCTCCAGAAACTTCTAGCATAAAATTGTGGATAATACGGGTGCATTTTACTACGGAGGCTAGTGCCCCTAGCATATGCCAATGTTCTGAAAATATTGTTATTTTACAAAAGCAAACCTCAGGTCGGCTCACTCCTGCCATGGCTTCCTCTCCACCATGTAACTCTGCAGGTGGGGTGGAGGTGTTGCCAGGCAAGCTGGGGTGGCTTATGTAAGTGTCCTGGCACAGCGAGATAGTGTGCATGGAAGAACAACTCTGAATACAGGAGCAGCCGGACCCAAGAACAATCCTGAACCAAAGTGTTTTCATTTATGATTTATGACCTTTTCTTCCAAAGAGGTGGGGAAAGACTCTGCAGATTGGGCGGAGGATCCTTTCTCCATCAATAACGCTTGACAGACACTTGTGAACTGCTCCAAGGTCCTGGTGCTTCCCCTCCCTGCCCATCCCCTCCCATTGCAGGGACCCAGAGAGCAGGCTTCTGGTCCACACCCAGAGTTCCGAACAGCATTCTTTTTTAAGCTCCAGCCAAAGCCGGAAGAGATTCTCATTCTTGACCATGGAGCATCAACAAGGAAGGAAAAAAAGTGCATGTCAAGTCAAAGCAGTGACTTTGAAGACACTTTTGAATCCCAGAATCGCCAGCAGCACACAGAAGGGGCTGAGCACTCCTAGCATGGCCGGTTCCCTGGGCCACACTCAGGGGCTGTCCTAGCTTCCATCAGAGCCTGTCCCAGCCCTCCTGGGCCCTCAGGGCCAACGTCTCTTTCTTCCTTGGACACTGCCTCCCATTTCCCTGTGTCCCTTTCCTTCAACTCAGGGCCCACTGTCCATGGTTCTGCACTGATCCCCTTGGCCACCCGTGCCCTCCCTCCACCCACAGACAGCACCTAAGCCATTTATGGCCACAGTTGGAGCAGAATAAATAAAACTCACTCCTTGATCAGTACAGGACCCACTGAGTTGGCAGGTTGAGAAACTGAGTTGCTCAAGAGGAGAAAAGTCCAAAGTAGTGTGGGGACAGTGGCCAGGTGAGTGGCTCAGAGGTCACTGTGGCCAGACAGCGGGGATCAGGAGGGGATTTGCTGAGGACTTTTGGTCATTGACAGGAATCGGGTGACTCTTGAGGGAAGCCCTCAACAAGGATGAAGAGAAGCCAGTGAACAACCAATGGCCCCAGAGCCAGGAGCCGGGGCAGCGGGCGGGGCTGGATCTCAGGCAGCCTTCCGGTGCACCTGGGGAGGTAAGGACTCCCGGCCAGCCGGCAGCCATCAGAGCATATTTTAGGAAGGAGATGACCGTGTGCAGACACCTCAGGCATTCTTGTTCTAAAACGCAGAAAGAAATTTCTGGTTGGTCTTGAATGTCTGCCTGCACCAAGCCACCTCCTATGGTTGCACGGGGTAGTTAACCTTCTAACCCAAGGGCACGTGTGCCCACAGAGGCCCTGCTCAGAGCACGGTCATTGTCTAGGCGATCTTCTCTCAAATGCCCTGGACTTGACACTTGCCATCGGTGGAGGAGGGAAGACAGCAGCACCACAGCGTCCCAGCTGGGGTCCCCAGCAGTCAGGCGAATGGGACCCAAGTGTTCTGCATGTGAGTTCGGGGTGAAGCTATGAAATGGGCAGGGGGGGCCTGAGGTTGAAAGTCATTTGTGCCAGAAGCTCCGAGGCCCCTGCTGATCAGGTATGTGAGTGGGTGAGGCCAGTGGCACAGTTACTACGGCCTCAGCCAGAAAAACCGCTTCAGGCTGGGCCTGGAGCCCAGAGGACACTAAGCAGCCGGGAGTGAGGGCAGCCTGGCTCCTAAAGAGCCAGGTAGGACAAGAATGCAGCTCCTCAGTGTCTGGGCAGAACTCTTGTCACTTGAGGGGCTTCAGTTTGGGAGCGAGGACTGAATCTGTGGGTGTTGAGACCCCCAAGTTGGCTGGTGAGCTTGTCATCTCGTCCGCTTCTGTTGGCTCTTATTCCTTGGTTTTTCCAGCAAAGGGGGCCAGGCAAAGTGCTCAGAGTTTCTATGCTTAGGAGCAACATCCTCCTCACCCCCGGACCCCCACCCCTGCCCACCCCATACACACACTGGCACTCGAGAAGGGCAGAAAATTTGTGGATGTCTCTTAACATGAGCAAAACCTGGTAGAAGAGGGGAAATTGCATGTGATCTGATCCGTGAGTTAATCCTTCCACCACCTCGAGACCGCTTTCCAACAGAGTCTGCTCAGGATGGGCGGCAGGACCCCAGACAAAACAGCAGGGGAACCACAGTTAGTGCCCCGAGAGGGTCCCCAAACCTTGCGGCCACTCAAGGTGCTGGGTTTTGGCTGTTTAATTCCTCCAGTTTTCAAGGCCAAATATCTCTGAAGCACTGGGTTTAGTTTTGAAGTCAGGAAACCAGGGGATTGCCCAGTCCTCGCGGCCCCCCAGCACCCTGGCCCGGCCTGGGGAACATCCTGCTGGTGCCTGCCTCGGCTTGGTTCCTGGGATCGGGGAACCTGTTTGTGAGGATGATAAAACCTCAGTAGAGCACCCTTGAGTTTGTTGATGTCCACTCCTGCTGGGCTTTCAGAGCCTGGGGTTTTTTTTTGTTTTGTTTTGTTTTATTGTTGTGAGATGAAGGATCCAACCTGGCTTTCAGGTTTTTACACATATTATCTTGGCCTCTTCTAGAAAAGCACTGAGAAGCCATTGCTCTGAGGGAGATAGCAGGTGAGTCACGGGGGCTGGGCAACTCATCCATGATCAGTCAGACCAGCCTCCCTGCTATCTGGCTCTGTCTGATCCACCCATCTCTTAGGTTTACTGTGTTGCACTTACCCATCTGTGTGATGGGGCCAGTGCTTCTTTCTACAGAGAAAAACACAGGTTCTTCTTTTGGTCTATGAAAATATTTCTAATAAGATGGTCACCATGGCACAGGCTTGTAATCCCAGCTAGTCAGGAGGTTGAGACAGAAAAATCACAAGTTGGAGGCCAGCCTCAGCAACTTAGCAAGACCCTGTCTCAAAGTAAAAATTAAAAAGGGCTGAGGATGTAGCTGAGTGGTAGAATGCCCCTGGGTTCAAACCCAAGTACAGTAAATAAATAAACACACACACACACAAACACACACACACATCTATATATAACTAATAAATATTTCCTCCAATTCATTTTTTTTCTAAGATGAAAGTCAATAAAATTGAATATGTTCATTTTAAAAAAATCATTTTCTTGCTTATATTGGAAAAGATCTTGCCCTACACAGCGGCATAGAAGTCTGTTTTGGAGGCTTGTGCTGAAGCAGGTGGTCAGCCTTGCCAGCTCAGGAGTGATTCTTGGCACTTTTAAGCTCAAAGCATTCCTCCTTCCAGCTGATCTGCATCTTCCTCCCTTGGGCAGGCTGGACGGTCCACTGGGGCCCTGAGGCAATGTCACCCAGGGAATTCTCCACCATGGGCCATTCACCTCCACCATCTTTCCTAACTGGGTGACTCTGTAGGAAAGGAGGGAGAGAGTGGGACTCACCACCCAGCTTCACTCCTGCCAGGGGGGAGACCTGGAGCAGACGAGTCTGGGAGCAAGAAGCAGGCCAGGGGCCTCCAGCTCCCGTGGACACCAGATGAAAACTGAGGCTTAGAGCCCAGGTCTGTTTTAACTGGCGGCCATGTTTGGGGCACAGGAGACCAGCAGTGCTTTGTTTTCCAAAGGCTCCTCCTTGACAGATATTCACAAAGGCATCAGGGCCCCATTTAAGTGAAGAAAAAATAAAAACATGAAAACTTATTTTTTTTTTAAAGATAGAGTGAGAGAGGGAGGGAGAGAGAGAGAGAGAGAATTTTTAATATTTATTTTTTAGTTTTCGGCGGACACAACATCTTTGTATGTGGTGCTGAGGATCGAACCCAGGCCGCACGCATGCCAGGCGAGCGCGCTACCACTTGAGCCACATCCCCAGCCCAAAGCTTATTTTTATTCTACAGAACACTACAAGAGAGTCTCCTGTTTCTTTCAACAACCTGACTACATGCACTTATCCCTTTAAGAGAAGAAAAATCCCTACATCCAGTTTTGGGGCATGTCCACAACAGGCAGAGCTCGGCTTGGCTTGCCACCAGCATCACAAGGGAGCCCACACTTGGTGGCGCTCCGCGCTAGGCTGCAGATGCTGCTGCCACCACCTTGAAATTCTTAATGAGGGCTGGGGATGTGGCTCAAGCGGTAGCGCGCTCGCCTGGCGTGCGTGCGGCCCGGGTTCGATCCTCAGCACCACGTACAAACAAAGATGTTGTGTCAGCCGAGAACTAAAAAATAAATATTAAAAAATTCTCTCTCTCTCTCTCTCTCTCCCCCCACTCTCTCTTTAAAAAAAAAAAAAAAAAAAAAAGAAATTCTTAATGATTTACAAACCAGGGCCCTGCACTTCCATTGCATTGGGTACTGCAAATTCTGTAGCCAGTCCTGAAGGCAGGAAAAGGTAACAGGTGGCACCCAGTAGCTTCAGAGAGGCAGCTTGGTCACCTCCTTGAAGACTAAGCGAGAAAGGCCATGTGCTGTTTTATTGGCAGGGCCTTTGCTTTGACCAGGACTTCCCAATCTGAACCTCACATCTGGCCCAGCTAATTCTGAACTTCTTGAACATTTAAAAAATACATACTGGCTTCCCCTAGGAGTGACCTTATCATATTCTTACCAACGTTAATGTCGTCCTCTGGAGCCAGAGCCAGGAGTTTTATTTTCAAGGGTCATCCGTGAAGACACAGTGTGCATGGCTAACCCTCTTGGCCAGGAGCAACGTCCCAGGGATGGTTGGAGCTTAGTGGTACAGCACGAGCCAGGCCCTGGGTTGCCTCCTGGCCCTGGGCAGGGGGAAGGCTGAGTGCTCAAGAGGAGCTGGGGGTCTGGGAAGAGGGCCCTGGTGGCTTAAGCAGTAGAGTGCTGGGCAGGTGGGAGCCAAATGATGAGTAGGAAACCCCTTCTTTCCAGATTCTCAGCTGTCAAAAGAATTATAGAGGCAGGTGGAAGTTCAGGGTCAAGGATGGGGGAAGAACACAGGAAAGATGACGAAGAGGATTTGAGACAGAGGGAGAATGAGAGCCAAACTGGTGGTAGATCAGGCAATATGCAGAGGACAGGGAAAAGCTCAGGCCAGGCATGACTGTCTCCATCTCAGGGGAGGCCACAGCAGGCAGGCCCAGCAGAGCAGACACTTGGACATGGCGTCTTAAACAGTTTCAAATTCGCCCCCGACTCCCATGCCAGTACAGGTGAACCACCTCTACCACTGCACTACATCCCCTGGCCTTTTTAGTTTTTACTTTGGACAGGCTCTAAGTTGGGATCTTCCTGCCTCAGCCTCCCCAGTCACTGGGGTCATAGGTATGCACCACCACACGTGGTTATCTTAGACTCTTTTAAAGCTACCTAGAGAAACCTTCAAAGTCATTTCAGTTGAGACAGTGGTTCTCAACCCTGGATGCATGTCCAAATCACCTGGCTGGGGAGGGGAGCGCAAAAATTCCCATGTGTAGACCCGGAATCCAGGCACCAGACTCTGGGGGTGGCCTGGGCTTCAGGGTCTTTTTATAGCTCTCCAAGAGAGAGCTCCATCAGGGGTCAGAGAGCCCCTGAATTCTAGTCAGTTGGAATATATAGATGTGAGCTGGGGGAGCTGAACCAACCAGCCCAGCGGGGGGGGCAGCTGCCTCTCCCACGCACACCCCAGGGCACATACCCACAGCCAAAGCTGCCTGCGGAAGCAAGAGGAGAAAAGCAGAAAAGCCAGATGTCCGTTTATCTCACCTGTCCAGTTGTCTGGGGTCTCACACACACATTCTGCCATGTCCCTGCCCAGATCAGATGTCATTTCCCAACCCCCAGGCTCTCAGATCCTCTGAGTGGACAGCCACTGTCCTTCATTACTCTCCTGCTTTGCAGAAAAGAAGAGCTGTAGTTCTCAGAGAAAGAGGAGTGGCCTGTGAAGACGGCGTTTTCCCCACCGCAGTCCCCGAAGAACAGAGTAAAGGGCAGGGCAAAGACTTGGGCCGGGAGTTAGCTCATTATTTTCTCCTAAGCTAGGATTGTCCTTAGAAGATGTGCCCGCCCCGGAGCCCTGTCCCTCTAGCCCCATTCTCTCCCCCTCATTCACAGGAAGCAACTAAATTAGCCATCAGGGACACCCAAACTCCTGCACAGTAGGTGAAACAACCAGGTGACAAGTTGCTCAAAGTGACTCATGGTGGCTCCTTTCCCCAGGGGTGGCCCTTCCAACTCTCCCCCTGGTCCTCCACCCCCCTCAGGGTCCCTCCCCTCCTGTGATCCCACCCTGCCTACCCATGGCCACAGGCCTTCCCAATCCCTGCAGCAAGCGTCCCGTCCCATCCTCCAGCGCACTGCCTGCTGTCCCTCACTACTGTCACTCTCACTGTCTCCACCCCTGCACCTCCCTCCTTCCCAGCCTCACCCCCACGGCCCACTGCTCCACGGCTCCTTTGTGCACACTCCAGCTCATCGTTCCCCTCAGGAAAGTCCCTGCCGGGTTCAGTCAGCCCTCATCCACGTGGGGCCACGTGGGGTCCACACAGTGCAGCGCCTGTGCTGGAGAAGGCCGGGGCAGCCTCATGGCCACCCAGGCACCTGGGACTGACTCACCTGACCTTTCCTCTTCACGCAGTCATGCTTATTCCCCTGGACAGACATAGCGCCGGCTCCCCATCTGCCTTCCCTAGTCATTGCGCTGCTTCCTGTTTCCCTGAGAAAACTGAAGCAATCCAACAACATCTATGATGCCCTTGGCCACATCTCCCGGTGCCTGGACCAGCCTGCAGAGAGCTGTCTGCGTGCCCGGCCCGCGCTGTCCCCTACCAGGACATCTCCTCAACATCGCAGTGTCTCCCTTCTCCCCGGATCATTCCCAGTGGCGTGCAAACGTGCTTTATTTTTCTCATCTTCAAAACAACAGCAGATCAAAACAAAGATCCCCTCTTGGCCACACACTCTCAGGCAGAGGTTCCTCGTGGTTACTTAGTTGTTGATGGTGACATTTGGGGATGGTTGATCATTTTGCCTGGAATCCCTTCAGCCTTCTGATGAGGCCCGAGCATCTCTTAGCCTATTGCTTTTGAATGTATAAAATAATACATGGGATGCTAAAGGAAGAGGACGCTGTGGAAATGCAGTTATTTAGAGATCTTAAACAATTTGTCCCTAGTGATTTATGCGCTTCTCTGTTGATGCATTATCAACAGAGGTTGAAACAGCGGCAATGCAAGTGACCTTCCCAGGTCTCTGCAACACCTGGAAGTTGATGAGAAATGTGGGTGGTTTCTGTTGCTGACAGAGTCCCAGGCACTGTCACATTGCCGTAGGTGCCTGCTCCATGCATAGTGAAGGAAATGCTGTCAGTCAGATGTCAGTGGAGTAAAACTGTGACTTTTTTCCTATCCCAGTTCACAGCTTGAATTTTTCAGGCTCTGGACCCTGTCTTACAACCATCGCCTCATTCCCTCATTCCCCTTGGTGGTCCACGTCCTCTGAAGGCACCCTCTGGGCTCATTCTCTCCTGTCCCTCCTCTACATGACCCACTCCAATCACCCACTAAAACTGTACTTCTCAAGGTCTCCAGCTTCCTTTGAGTTACTAACCCTATAGAGTGACCTGATTACGGCCAGACGCAGGGTAGGGCTCTCTCCAGTGTGGACCATCCTCACTCAGCTCCCTCCCTCTGGGTTGACTCCTCCCGCTTACTCACTCCTTCCCCGTGGCAGGCTCCTGCCCCTCCCCCCATCTGTGATGTTAAACCATTGGGGAATCAGTCCCCGGCCCCTGCTCACCTCATCTACTCGCACTCCCTAGGGACTTCCAGCCTCAAAGCTTTCAATCCCATCTCCATGCTGATAAGTTCCAGTGGACTTCCAGTTCTGTCCCTGAACTCTGCATTTATGTATCTGACCCTTGTTATCCCACTGGATGGTGATGGACGTCTCAAAACTGTCCACAAGCAGAGCGCCTCTTTTCTTTTTTCTTTTTTTAATTTGTAGATATACATGACCGTAGAGTGTATTTTGACATATTATACATACAAGGAGTATAATTTATTCTAATTAGGATCCCATTCTTGTGATCGTATGTGATGTGGAATTTCACTGATCATACAAAAACATAGGATAGTGTAGGCGGGGCTGGGGTTGTGGTTCAGTGGCAAAGCACTTGCCTCACACATTTGAGGCACTGAGTTCGATCCTCAGCACCACATAAAAAATAAATAAAATAAAGATATTGTGTCCATGTATAACTAAAAACATTTTCTTAAAAAAAGAACATAGGATAGTAATGTCCAATTCATTCTACTTTCTTTCCTATTCTCATCCCCTTCCCTTCCCTTCACTCCCCTTTGTCTAATCCACTGAACTTCTATTCTTCCTCCTGCCTTTTTGTGTGTTAGCATCCACATAGCAAAGAGGACATTTGGTCTTTGGTTTTTTTGGAGTTATAAAGTCGTTCTTTTTATGGCTGAGTAATATTTCATTGTGTGTGTGTGTGTGTGTATATTCCATAGCTTAGCTATTGTGAATTAAGCTGCTATAAATATGTGGCTGCGTCACTGTCACTGTAGTATGCTGTTTTTAAGTCCTTTGGACAGAAGAGAGTAATAGCTGGGTCAAATGGTGGTTCCATTCCAAGTTTTCTGAGGAGTCTCCATACTGCTTTCCATAGTGGTTGCACCAGTTTGCAGTCCTACCAGCAGTGTATGTATGTGCCTTTTTCCCCACATCCTCACCAACATTTATCATTACTTGTATTCTTTATTTATTTTAAATTTTTATTTGCTGTAATTAGTTATACATGACAGTAGAATGCATTTATGCACTTTGATATATCATACATAGATGGGATATGATTTCTCATTTTTCTGAGTGTACATGTTGCAGCATCATATTGGTCATGCAGTCACATATAGACACACAGTAATGATGTCTGTTTCATTCTACTATCTTTCCTATCCCCAAATCCCCTCCCCTCCCCTCCCATCACTTCCCTCTACCTAATCTAAGGTAAAGCTATTCTTACCTAGTGCCTCCCCCGCCTTATTGTGAATTAGTATCCGAATATTAAAGAAAACATTCAGCCTTTGGTTTTATGGGATTGGCTTATTTCGCTTAGCATGATATTCTCCAACCACTTACTGGCAAACGCCATAATTTTACTCTTCTTTAAAGCTGAGTGATATTCCATTGAGTATATATACCGAATTTTCTTTGTCCACTCATCCACTGAAGGACACCTAGGTTGGTTCCATAATCTAGCTATTGTGAATTGAGCTGCTATAAACATTGATTTTTTGGCTGTGTCACTGTAGTATGCTAATTTTAAGTCCTTTGGGTGTAAACCAAGGAGTGGGATAGCTGGGTCAAATGGTGGTTCCATTCCCAATTTTCTGAGGAACCTCCATACTGCTTTCCATAGTGGTTGCACCAATCGCAGTCCCACCAGCAGTGTATGAGTGTGCCTTTTTTGCCACATCCTCACCAACACTTATTGTTGCCAGTATTCTTGATGATTGCCATTCTGACAGGAGTGAGATGAAATCTTAGAGTAGTTTTGATTAGCATTTCTCTAATTGCTAGAGATGTTGAACACTTTTTCATATATTTGTTGATCATATATTGCTTCTTCTGTGAAGTATGTTACTTGTATTCTTGATAATTGCCATTCTGGCCAGAATGAGATAGAATCTCATTAATTTAATTTGTGTTTCTCTAATTGCTAGAGATGTTGAGCATTTTTTTTTTTATATTTGTTGACCATTCGTATTTTTTCTCAGGTGAAGTGCTTGTTTAGTTCCTTTGCCCATTTATTGATTGGGTTGTTCCTTTGTTTGTTTGTTTTTGGTGATAAGTCTTTTGAGTTCTTTGTACATCCTGGAGATTAATGATCTATCTGAGACGCAGGTGGCAGAGATTTTCTCCCATTCCGCAGGCTCTCTTCACATTCTTGATTGCTTCCTTTGCAGTAAGGAAGCTTTTTAGTTTAATACCATCCCGTTATTGATTCTTGATTTCCTTCTTGCACTTTAGGAGTCTTGTGGAGAAAGTCGGTTCCTAAGCTGACATGATGGAAAATTGGTCCTACGTTTTCTTCTAGTAGGTGTAGGGTCTCTGGTCTAATTCCTAGGTCCTTGATCCACTTTGAGTTGAGTTTGGGGCAGGGTGAGAGATAGGGGTTCAATTTCATTCTGCTACATATGGATTTCCAATTTTCCCAGCACCATTTGTTGAAGAGGATATTTTTTCTCTAATGTAGGTTTATGGTGCCTCTGTCTAGTATGAGATCACCGTATTTATGTGGGTTTGTCTCTGTGTCTTCTATTCTATTCCATTGGTCTTCATCCCTATTTTGATGCCAATACCATGCTGGTTTTGTAACTACAGCTCTGTAGTATAACTTAAGGTCTGGGACTGTCATGCCTCCTCTCTTTTCTTACTGAGGATTGCTTTGACCATTCTGGGCCTCTTATTTTTCCAAATGAATTTCATGACTGCTTTTTCTATTTATATGAAGAATGTCATTGGAATTTTAATAGGAATTGCATTAAATCTGTATAATGTTTTTGGTATTATGGCCATATTGACGATACTAATCCAGCCTATCCAAGAACATGGGAGATCTTTCCATCTTCTAAGGTTTTCTTCAATTTCTTTCTTTAGTGTTCTGAGGTTTTCATTGTAGAGGTCTTTTACCTCTTTTGTTAGATTGATTCCCGAGTACCTTATTTTATTCTTTGAGGCTATTTTGAATTGGATAGTTTTCCTAATTTCTTTTTCAGCTGATTCATCATTGGTATATAGAAATGTAATTGATTTATGGGTGTTAATTTTATGTCCTACTACTTTGCTGAATTCAATTATGAGTTCTAGAAGTTTTCTGGTAGAGTTTTTTGGGTCTTCTAAATATAGAATCATGTCATCAGCAAACAGGGATAGTTCGAGCTCTTCTTTTTTTTTTTTTTTTGTATCCCTTTAATTTCTTTCTTTTGCCTAATTGCTTTGGCTAGAGTTTCAAGGTCTATGTTGAAAAGAAGTGATAAAAGAGGACATACTTGTCTCGTTCCAGGTTTGGAAGGAATGTTTTCAATTTTTCTCCATTTAGAACGATGTTTGTCTTGGGTTTAATGTATATAGCTTTTACAATGTTGAGGTATGTCCCTACTATCCCTAGTTTTTCTAGTGTTTTGAAAATGAATGGATGTTGTATTTTGTCAAATGCTTTTTATGCATCTAATTAAATAATCATGTGATTCTTGACTTTAAGTCTGTTGATGTGGTGAATTACGTTTATTGATTTCTGTGTGTTGAACCAAACTTGCATCCCTGGGATGAACCCCACTTGATCATGATGCACTATCTTTTTAATATGTTTTTGTACAGAATGCCTCTTCTCTTTACTTTCTGTATAAGTCAGGGCTGTCCTAGAGACAGAACTAATAAGACGTGTGAGGAATTGGTTCATGTTATTATAGAAGTTGGCAAGTCCAAAATCCACTGAGTGGGCCAGGAGGTTGGAGGCCCAGGAGAGATGCTACTGCTGCCCCAGTCACAAGGCAGTCCCCTGCAGAACACTGAAGGAATGAGGTTGAAATGGGGTCTGAAGGCAATCTGCCGGGGAAAAGACTTTTCTCTTGAAACATTCAAGAAAATTTTAAGAACATTCAAGAAATGTTCTTAAATGTTAGTGCCCCCCCAAAAAAAATTAATATGTGAGAGCTCTAACCCACCAGGTGATAGTATTTGAACATGGGGCTTTGGAAGGCAATTAGGGTTAGATTAGGTCATGAAGGTGAGATGCCGTGATGGGATTAGTGGCCTTAAGAGGAAAAAAAGAAAGGGCTCTCTCCACGTGTACATAAAGAAGAGTTAGTGACTACACAGTGAGAACCCTTGCAGGAACTTTGATCTTGTACTTCGCAGTCTCCAGAATTGTGAGAAAATATGTTTCCTTACCTTCAGCCACCACATGGGGTATAATGATACCTCGTCATGGCCGTCTGAGTTGACGTAAGACACCATTTTTTTGTTCTATTCAGGCCTTCTACTGATTGGATAAGACCCACATTAAGAAGGGCAATCTACTTTACTTAAATTCTGCTGACTCAAATGTTAATTCCATCCCAAGCATTCTCACAGAGATTTTTTTTTTTAAAGTAACGTATGACCAAATACCTTGGCACCCCATGGCAATAAATGGCAGCTCCATTTCTCCAGTGACTGAAGACCAAAACCTTGGCCATGTCTCTCACCCCTCAGCTAAACCACTGGCAAATCCTGCCAGTCCCACCTTCCAGATGTACTCAGACACCAACATTTTCTCGGCTGTACCTACCTTTATCACTATGACACTAGCCCAGTGTCCCAGTATCTCTTACCTGAATGACCACAATAGCCTCCTATTGGTCACCCTGATTCAGCCCAGAAATGACTTTGGACGAGTTACTTAACCTCTCTAAGACTCAGTTTTCCCAAATGAGGACAATAAACACATTGCAGATTTAAGAATTAAATAAACACCAATGGGAAGACTTAGCTGTGGGTTGGCATATCATAAATGCTGACCAAATTTTGCTATGATTAGTTTTAGTCTTATCATTAATAACTAACAGCCACCTGGGCTCAAAATGAGCCTACAGAGAGTGAGCTTTAAACATCATTATTTTATTTAGCCTCAGTAAATCTTAGCCTTATGCTTTCATTTGACACCACATTTGTAACCACAGAAATATATTCCTATTTCAGTACTCTAATAAATAATTGGCAGAGTCTTACCTAATTCACAGAATAGTTGTCTTGTTCATGATGGCTTCCAGCCCAGCTGTGACAATGTCCTGTTGCTTGGGGTATTTTTTCTAACTTTTTTTTTTCTGTTTTGATGTAAGTCCCAACTGAGCGGATACCCCGTGGAGCTCCGCTGCATTTCCAAGGTAAAGCTTGTTCAGCCCTCTGAGTCACCTTATCCAAACCTGGCCTGCACCCCAAATTTGGGTTTTTATGGTCTATGAAACCAACACATGTTGATTTAACAGAACCAGACATCCAGCCCGAAAAGGTCAGCCGTCAGTCCGAGTGCTGCCCAGCCCCTGCACACACCCTGGAGAAAGAACTGAGCCCCAAACTCTTTGCAGGTTAAGTGAACTTTAACATGCTTTTTAAGCGTGGAGAGGCTGAGCCATGTGCACCACTGTATGGGCTGTTGGCTGCAGGCAAGCCTCGCTCTTGAACTTTGACATCTATGAGGGCTTCCAGATTCTTCCCCCGGGGATTCTATCCTCCACACTTGGGGACATGAAGCTGACTGCTGCTTTGCTTTATTCAGTGACGAATGTGAACAGGCAGATGGTGCTGGGCACCTGTTGGGAAGGAGACTCACTTTCCCACGCCCAGGTGTAAGCGTCGTTCATATCACTTGGTGCTACCGGGCACCAGCTGGGCTGCCAGGACACATAGTCACAGCCTGGTTGACAAGAGCCGCGTAGCCCCTCACAGTTCTAGTGCCTGAAAGTCTGAAATAGAGGCGTCAGCAGGGCTGGTTCCTCCGGGGGCCATGCAGGAGAGCCTTCCCTGGGCCACTGCAAGCTTCTTGTGGTGGCTGGCACCGTCACCCTTCCCTGGCTTATGGCTGCACTGCTCTGCCCTCTGCCCGGCCTGCACATGCCATCTCCTCATGAAGACCAGTTTTATCAGATGAGGAGCCACCGGCTTCCAGCATGCCCTCATCTGAATGGACCATATTTGCATGGTGGTAGAGCACTTGCCTTGCAAGTGTGAGGCACTGGGTTCGAACCTAGCACCACATAAAAACAAATAAAGGCATTGAGTCCAAATACAACTAAAAAATAAAAAAATAAACTATTTCCAAAACAGGTCACATTCTGAGGTATTTGGGGTTGGGACACTCAGACATCTCTTTTGGGGGGATGTGAGTCAATGTCAAGCATTCTTTTAAAGTTTTCCCACAAAACATTTTACTAGTCATCTAATAATCATCTAACACTTTAGAAAATATCCTGTGTTCACTTATTTTTCTTTTTTAACTTTCCTAGATATTTTTTTCTTATATGGCAAGTTCTTAGTCATCCAAACCTTAAGAAATAAAGCACAACAATATGGAAGAGTTACACGACAATCTCATCAGGGGAAACAGCTCAGAAAAGGCACCCATGGGTTTTATGAGATTAAATTCAATCGTTTCATTTAAAAATGTTGACCTACGGCATTTCTAAGGAATTCTAATGAACTTTGGTGAGTTGGAATTAGAGAGATAATGCCTCCCGGGAAAGGGTCTAGAATTTTTGTGGTCACCGTGACTTAGGTTTATAGTTTATGGTAAATCAATAGCCTTCCATCTTATTGAATTGAAAACGCCTCTGCTGGACTCTAACCACACACCATGATTTCCATTCGTGTTGACACAACCTGTTCTCCAAACCAGTTCTTATATGAAAAATAGGTTGTTCTTCACTCATCCAAAAGAGGGGAGGTCAGCCCATGACCATCTTCTATGTGACCTCAGGGGATGTGTTTCACACTGGCTTTACCACGTAACAATGGCCACATAACCGTCATGACGTACCAAGCTCTGGTCGTGTCATTATCCTAAGACTGTGTGGATGGCGTAGAGAGTTCCCATAAATTTAAAATATCCATGCCTGCCAGTCTGAAAAACAACCCAAGGAAAGTTACAGAAAGTCTGGATCAGCAGAGCCAACAACCCCACACAGAGGTGCATCCTCAGAGAATATGAAATGGTTTTTCCAAGGTAGTATTTGATGGCTTCATCATAATCCTTTCATATTTGTGTAAGAAGATGTGCTAAAAACAGAATCTGCAGAATTTCTAGGAAATAAATCCACCTGCTTCCTACATGATTGAGAAAGCCAGCACCCAACGCGTGCTCGGGTGATGCCAGCTGAAGCTCTTTCATTCTGTGCAGAGTTCACGTTTTTTATGTTCTCGCGTCGGGTACTTTTGCTACTATCTCTCATGTAAGGGAACCCAGTCTCCCTGGAGTTATCTCCGATCCCAAATCTGAGCACTTATGGAACATCTCAACAGTAGTGAAGAGGCCGTAGGGTCGGGGACAGGACGACCTTTCTCAAGTTGCTGAACGGGGAAGTCAGGGCCACTCCAGCCATTGCTCATTCCAAGACAGCTCTTTGTTTTTTTTCTCTGATAAAGTTATTGGGAGCCACCCTGTTTGTTGGGTCCTCCATCACGGACCCCACACTGTGTCAAGAGCATTTAGAGACAAGGTCACATGTGACGGCTTGTAACCAAGCAGCTCTAAATGTGCTCCAAATGCACGACAGCCCAAAGCTGAAATGAGGCACAAACAGGTGGTTCTGGGTGAGAAACTTGTACCATGCCTGGTTTATGCCCCGCTCCTCTGCACAGGACCTGTGCTCCCATTCTGGGACTGACGCATCCTTCACCAGTCCCAAGGGATCGGTGACAGGAAGCCATGTGTCCGTGGGAAAGATTTCACGATAGGGGCTGATTTTGCAAAGGATTAGGTGCCAGCTGCAAGTAGCCAAAGGTGAGACTTGTGAGGGACAGGGAGGCATGGGATTCAAACACCCTCCAGGGCCCATGATCTGCAACCCTCTAAGAAGTGTGGCTGGCCAAAGAGGCTGAGCGGATGCCCCACAGAGCAGGAGGAAGGTCTTCAGAAGACAGGACGATGTGCCTGGGGACACTGGACACACAAAAAGTAGAACTGTCCCATAGCACATCTGTCCCTTTGTCTGGGCCTGGCTGTCCCCGCTGGCCACTGCTGTAGAAATGACGCTTAACTTGGAGATGAAGCTGCAGGGTTTGCACAGCTGGGGTCCAGGCGCCTGGCAGGTGAACAAAGTGTGGGATCCCCCCCCCCCGCACGGAGGGTGCCTTTTTTTTTCTTTAATTCTTTCCTTTAAAAATAAATGTAGCTCACAGACTACAGAGGAAGGAGACAACATAAAAATTTATATGGAAAAAAACCTTCATCCCTCAGAGCCGGTGCTCATAAAACCAGACCCAGTTTAAGGGGCCGACGGTAGCTCTGGGGTTTCTCACAGCTGTCCTTCACAGATTTTCACATCACTTTACAGCCCGGGTTTTCTGACCCTGGAGGGAGGACAAGTCAAGTCAGAGCGTCCTCCTGGGCCTTCTGTTGCCGCTCACTCGTCCTCCTGAAAATCAAATTCTCTTATTTTTATTTTTTAAGTCAATTCTGTCTCACTACTGCCTCCAATAAACTTTTTTTTTTTTTGGTACCAGGGATTGAACCCAGAGACCCTCAACCACTGAACCACATTCCCAGCCCTTTTTTATATCTTATTTAGAGAAAGGATCTTGCTGAATTACCTAGAGCCTCTCCAAGTTGCTGAGGCTGGCTTTGAACTTGCGATCCTCCTGCCTCAGCCTCCATGGCTCCATAAAGGTTCTAAGTCTAAGGGATTTTTAAATTATTTTTTAGTTACAGGTGAACACAATGTCTTTATTTTACTCTATGCCGTGCTGAGGATCGAACCCAGTGCCTCATGCATGCTAGGCAAGCGCTCCACCGCTGAGCCACGCCCCAGCCCTAAGTCTAAGGGATTTTGCCACAGTAATTTTACTTCAAGTTGTTCTTCAGAAAAGGGGATGAGAGGGTGTCTTTAGTCAAATAAATTTAGAAAATACTTTGTTTGAACACTCCCAGGAAAGCTGCGTGTTTTTGCGTGTTATGACGATGAAAAGTCTTACCAGGGTCCAGCTTTTCTCAAATGTAATTGACTTTTATGTCCTTCATGTGAGATGAACTGCAAAGGCAGCATTCCAAGAAGCACCTCTGAGAAACCCTGCACCAACGCCTGCTCCCCATCGCTGAGCCACAGGATACTGGTCTTGTTAGATTCGGCCCCACCCAGCCAGCCTATCGAGGTCTTTTGGGAACTTGACCTTGGAACGCTTTTTGCTTGGGACTTATCTCTCTAGCCACACACATCAGTGGGGAAAGGGTAGCCGCAGGCAAAGCCAAACACAGCCCTGGACCTGCGGGTTCAGCCCTAGTGCAGCAGCTCCTGTAGGCCAGAGTGGGCTAGCTCCTCCCTGTACACAGAGCCCCGAGGGGTGCAGGGTCTTGGGGTCTGGGGTGCCAGGGAAGAGTTTTCTGCGGTTTGCAGGGAGATACACTCTATTGAAGTTGTTTTTTCATTGCATGACCCAAAGTGAAGGCAATTGCCGGGCAGTTGAATTATTACCTGACGCCTGCAGCAGCTGCTGCTGAGGAGGGAGAGGAGATGGGAGTTGGGGGTTCATTAACACTCACTTCTTAAATTAACAAATCCTTATAGCACAGGTTAAAAATAGCAACCTCATGGTTTCTAAAATTAGCCCTCACCTCTTTCCATAAATATGTAGACCTCCCTTGAACTTGGGCTCCACTTGCCCAGCCTAATGGGGTCAGACAGGCTTAGCTTTCATGCCACATTCTTTAGGATCAGTATACTTGGTAATTGACCTTGACAAGTGAGAGGCCACAGAATGTCCTGGACCCAGGACAGCCTGTGGGGCCATCAGCCTGAAAGTGGCTCTGGGCAGGCCTGGGAGAGATCTCAGGGTCCTTTTGGAGACATCTGCAGCCCCTGGGCTCCCTGGAGGAGCATGGGACTGGCCTGTTTGCTTAGGAAATCCCCCACCCTGGGCCACCTCTCCATCCCCAGCAAAATGGGATGGTGGGTCACCCTGGCCACATAAACCACTGCAAAAGGACCAAGGTCACTGTTCTGGGACAATCTGGGGAGGAGATTCAGCGCCCCGGAGTCCACTCCTCAGCCGCTGACTTGGGGCCTACATAATTGAGGAAGGTAGCGTTTAAAGGAGGAAGGAAATCAAGGACCAGTCAGGTCGGCCATGGGATGCTCCTCCCCTGCACCTCCCCAATTTCCTCAGTGCAAGAGGGTTGGCAGCATGGCGCCTCAGGAGATGTGGGGACTACCAGGCATGTGCCAGCCACATCCCTGTTACCCACCAGGGTGCCCGTGCTCTCCATCAGAGGGGTCAGACAAAACACACTGGAACAGGAACAAGACTTTGTTCTTATGCTCAAGCCCCGAGTGTAAGGAAAGAACCATATGAAGGAAATGAGGAGGGGAGAGGAAGCTCAGCAGCAGCCCAGGTTTACTCTGGCCAAAGCTGTAGAGGTGGCCCCGGCGGAGACTGGACCGTCTCCCACTCACAGCCTGGGGTAGTTGTAGGGGCAAGAGGAAGAGGGAATTCTTGCAGTTAGGCCATTGCTAGAGGGTTGTCAGGTCAGGGAGGTCCTTATGGTCGTCACCTCCATTCTTTGGGGTGGTCACTGTTCTATGTGGAACCGGTGGGGTTATTTCAAGTTGGCAGGATGATGGGGTGTTGTCAGGGGTTTGAGGCCGGCTGAGTCAGAGTGACCTTGGGGTGATCTTGTCTAAGATAGAGGGTGTTTCAAAATGGCACTGCCTGTGTCCAGTTCTTCCAACACCAAGGACACCCAGGTGACTTACATAGAGACAAAGGATGCAGCTTTTATGACCTCCACAGGGCGGGCAGGGACCACCCGTGTCATTAGGGGTAGGTTTGCGTTGCGCCTGTGCTCTTCATTGTGTCTTCATTGTGTACCCTGTACCTACGTCTCTAGCCCTGGGGGTGACTTTACTGCGCTGATGGAGTAAAGGTAACCAGGTTACCTCAGGCAGGACTCTGCACGTGCGTTTGCCCCTCTTCACCTGGCATCTGCCCCCTATGCTCTGGGACAGTCCCTGGTATCTGTCCTGTCTCAGTGGGTTTGATCCTCGCATCTGGCTCCGGCCTCTCTGAATCTCCGCTGACCCCAGAGTCTCCGAAGGCTGCCCGACTGCCCGGCTCCGTCTCCAGGGGCCTGACGTTAGCTCCACAGCCTTGAGGGCTGGTCTGCTGGGCAGCCCCCCTTGTTCTGGAAAGTCTGACTGAGGAGGGCTCAGCGTCTCACTCCCAGGGCCTCCTGCCGATGAGCTGGCGGTTGGCGGTGTAGCTGCGCTCGGGGTGTGGGGTTACCCCCAGCAGCAGCTCTGACCAGGATGGCCCCTTGGGCATTGCTTGGACCCCACTTCCTCCACAGTAGTGACCACAGGACAGCCGGAACTGGAATGGTGTCCCCAGCCCCTGGACAGGGTGTGTCTATCTGCTAAGTGGAGGGATGACAGAACTTCATGCAGGACCTAGGAAAGGCCAGCTGGGGACAAGGTGGGGAACCTCCTCACGCCTCCTTCCCGGGACAGGACGCCTCCTTTCCTCCCTGGTCCCTCCCTCCCTCCCCACTTCCTCCCTCTCCTCCTCCTCCCTCCCCACTTCCTCCCTCTCCTCCTCCTCCCTCCCCACTTCCTCCCTCTCCTCCTCCCTCCCTCCCCACTTCCTCCCTCTCCTCCTCCCTCCCTCCCTCCTTCCTCCCAGTCTCTCCAAGGGTCCCTGAAACTCCAGGCACTACCCAGCTGCAGGGCTCTTGTCACCACAGAGTGTTCTGGATCTTGAAACTTTGAAGTTTATGTTTTAATGTTAACCTCTGGAATGGTTCCACATTCCCCCTCTGAAGGCCAGCTAGAAGCCTTGGTTTTGTGACAACTTCCCTCCGAAGGTCTTCACTGGGGTGGCAGGCTGGGGTGACCTGGAGGCCTGTGCTGGAGGAAGGGAACACTGGCCTGTCCCTGGCTGCGGCACCTGACAAGCTGGTGACCCTGGTGGCCCAGCCCCTTGGCAGCAGTCCACCCTCCCCACATCACATTTGTCCTGGATCCCCGAAGGCAGCATCTGACCACCCTGGAGGGCTGAGCCTCTCCGTGTCTGAGTGGACAGGAAAGTCATCCCCTGCAGAAAACCCTGCATCCTGTGGCAGCCCAAGACTGTTTTCTAATCATAACCAGCATACCAGTCCAGGCTGGTGTGAATAAGATCTGCTGGTGTAACAGCTGTCACTACTGACCACAGAGGACGAAGTGAGACTCAGGTGCTGCAGCAGTGCTTGAGGGTAGAGACATGGTAGAACTTCCCACACATGGTGCTCCCATGCAGGTCCAAAAGGAAATCAGAAAAGGGGGCTCTGGAGTGCCCTTCCCTGAGGTCCCCGAGGGGGCTGCCCAGACCTGATGTCATCCTCCCCAGCTCTGGCTTTCCAGGGAAAGCAGCCTATTCTTCCTCTCAGTGAATTGTCAGAAACTGTTTTTCAGAATGTTAATTGCTACACCAACTGCCTATGGAAAACCCAGTCTCGGTGACAGAAATAAATGCATTGAGATAATATTTAACCTGTTTCCTTTCTCTCCCTCCTCCCGCCTCCCTCGGCTTTATTAGGATGCCTGCAGGTGCCTGAGGAGCAGCGTGATCCTAGGGCACCAGGGTGCTGCCTGGCAGGGCTAGGCGGGCACCGCAGCCATGGCCAGCACAGCTGTGCAGCTCCTGGGCTTCCTGCTGAGCTTCCTGGGCATGGTGGGCACGCTCATCACCACCATCCTGCCGCACTGGCGGAGGACGGCGCACGTGGGCACCAACATCCTGACGGCCGTGTCCTACCTGAAGGGGCTCTGGATGGAGTGCGTGTGGCACAGCACGGGCATCTACCAGTGCCAGATCTACCGGTCGCTGCTGGCGCTGCCTCGTGACCTGCAGGCGGCCCGTGCGCTCATGGTCATCTCCTGCCTGCTGTCCGGCATGGCCTGCGCTTGTGCTGTGGTGGGCATGAAGTGCACCCGCTGCGCCAAGGGCACGCCCGCCAAGACCACCTTCGCGGTGCTCGGAGGGTCGCTCTTCCTCCTGGCCGGCCTCCTCTGCATGGTGGCCGTCTCCTGGACCACCAACGACGTGGTGCAAAACTTCTACAACCCGCTGCTGCCCAGCGGCATGAAGTTTGAGATCGGGCAGGCCCTGTACCTGGGCTTCATCTCCTCGTCCCTGTCACTCATCGGAGGCACCCTGCTCTGCCTGTCCTGCCAGGAGGAGGCACCCTACAGGCCCTACCAGGCCCAGCCCAGGGCCACCACTGCCACTGCTGCCACCGCACCCGCCTACCGGCCACCAGATGCCTACAAAGACAACCGGGCCCCCTCGGTGACCTCCGCATCCCACAGCGGTTACAGGCTGAACGACTACGTGTGAGTCCCCCAGGGCCGTCCATCCCTGAGGGCCACTGTCAGGGCTGCTGGGCCCCCTGAGTGACAGCTGATGGATGCAGGGTCCAGCCCAAAGTTTACTTCTGGGTTATTCTGTATTTAAGGGATGTGCTTGGAACACAGGGAAGGGGGAGAAATAAGAGGAGAAAACTCGGTATACCAAAGACTTTTTTAAACCCTTGCTGTTTTTTGTATTTATTATACATATTTATGTGGTGATTTAATAAGAGCTAAATAAAGAGAGACTCGGAGTTTGGCCTGGTGTTTACTTGGGACAAGGTTGTTTATGAAATGGACAGCAGCAGCTTTTGTTTCCAGATGTGGCTCTGTCTCTAAGGTGCGAGGGATCGCAGCCGGAGCCTGGGGGACTTGGGGTTTCAAGGGCTGCCAGCTGTGCCAACGACCAGCTCTGCTGGCCGGACACCCAGCAGGGGCCACCACCGTGCACGATGGGAAAATCAGAGGGCAGTGGCTCAAACTCAGCCACAAGATGCTTGAGCGACACCCACAAACCCAGTCACCGTATCCCCACTTAAACTCCGAGGCAGGGCAGGAGGGAAGGGGCGCTCTCAGAGGAAAGAGTTGCCATGATCACAAAGTAGGGACAATGCTGTCTTCTACCATGAGCAGGAGGAGCCCACGGGAAGAACACAAAGTGAGGAGAGAAAACAAAGGAAGCACACCTGGCACGATGACTCTCTAGGTGTCGGCAAGAAGCTTAGGAGCTCTGCTGCCCCCAGGGGCCCCGGGGAGACTCCTCTGGCTTCTTCTCTGGGGGGACCGGTCCCAGCTGCAAGAGAGCAGGTTGACGGCTCCTTCCTCCACAGAGACCTACTGGGACAGTCGGGGGGCCTGACTGTTCCGGGAGCATTGATGTCCTTTCTGGCTGTGACCTAAGTCACATGGCCAGAGCGCTGTGCATGGTCACACACATCCCCCATCAGCTCTGGGAGCCTGGGCCACCTGGCTTTAGCGAGTGGGACCTACCTGGACTGGAGGAAAGCCACATCAGACTGCGAGGTCTGGGTGTGAAAGAGGAAGGGGTGACACCAGAAGTGACAGAGAGGCTTCTATTCTACACCCTGACAGCTAAATAGGAAGCTGACCCACAAGAGACCTTGGTTCCCTCCCCAGGTGACAGGGTGTGAGAATGCAGTCCCCCGCCTCCTTCTCGATTTCCCATCTTCCTTCACTCCCAGGACAATCGCCTGGGTCCTCTGAGCCTGTCATTTGCCACATCCATCCAGGAGATGGCTGCTTCTGCCACAACTTCAGGGCTGGGGGGCGTAACCCAGACGCTTCTGACAAGGACGTGGTCGGCTTTTGGGAGCAGGACACACAACTCCAAACCTGACAATGAAAAGAAAACACAAATCAACTCAGCTGTTTTCCAGGAAACCATCATTACAGGCATAAATCACCCCACAATCCTCGTGGATTAAGAAATGCTATTTCTTTGTTTCTCTAAATCAATTCAAAGTTGGCTGTGATCCAGAGAGGCCTGAAGTCTGCCATGTTTTCTGGCTCCCTCCTCCTGCCTCAGGTCTCAGGGGCCCAGTGCTACCAGAGGCCCTAGGCTTGGAACTGGGGGAACCCCTCTTCCACCTCAGGGATGTCAGCCCAGGGCCTCCTGACAGTCTCACATTCACCTACGAATAGGCCTTAGACTCTTCTGCCATGTGCAACTTGGGGGAAAAATAACTTTTCCCACTCGTCCCTGGGAAGCCACTCTTGAGACAGTGCTGCCACCGTAACGGCTTTGGCCTTAGCCTTGGGTTTCGCCTTTTGAAATCAAAGGCCTCCGAAATCTCCCACAGGATCCTACTTTCATGTCAGCCACTGTCATCCTAAATGGAGACATTTTGAAAACTATAACATACTCAAAAATCATCACAGCCCATCACATGAGGTATAGACAGAGGAGAGCCAGGATTTGGAGCCTGAAACCAGGTCCCACCTCATGGCTTCAGGTCAGGTGCCGCTGTCTGCAAGACTGGAGTCAGGGGGGAGCCGGGAGAGACCCCAGAGGGGCCCTTAAGCCCAGTGAGGCCAGAATGGCTCACTCCTGCAGGAAGCCAGCTCCAGGCAACTGAGAGCCGATGACGCTCTGTGACCAGTCACTGTGGGACGAGGAGGAAGAAAGCAGAGAAACCAGGGGCAAGACGGGGCTGAGAACGTTGAAGAGATTTAATTAAGACTGAAAAGTTTTTAGAAAGCTGCTCCACATCTCCTTTACATCCTCACCCCTTTCTTGCCCAAGAAGAGACACGGTGGTATGTGTGAGAGAGACAGACAGACACAGGGACAGAGAGGCAAAGAGAAGTAGTCTTAGGCCCTGTATATTTTAAGCCATTTTCTTAATCAAAAAGCACAAAGTCAATTACTGGGCAACCATCCAAAGGAAAGCAGAGAAACCTGGTTCAAGTAAATTATTTTAAAATACTACCAACTGGCTTCCGCAGGTGTGTGGAGGGGAAGGCATTAGTAAACAGCCCATTTCCTGCCTGGAAAAGGCCAGGAGAGGTCACCCCATAAATCAGGGAGGGCCCAGCCTCTGGGAGGCCAGTGGCCAGCCTCTTCCTCACTCTCACCTCCCACTCAGTGGCCTCACCCCAGGCGCCCAGCATGACCTGAGGTGCTTTCTCTTTAAAAGCTCAGCCCCTCCCCTGCTGCTACTGGTAAATGATTGACAGGGGAGCCCTCCCGGCTGCCAGGCTGCCCACCAGCCCCGGCCTGGAGCATCAGCTCCCTCCAGCTCTGGGGAAGTCTGGGATGTTTTCAGTCATCCCAGGCATTTTTCCAAAATAAAGAATTTCCGTAGGTTTCCCAACCAGAATAATAAGGAGCAAGAAGGTCGGGTTTAACAGCCAGGAAAACACGGGAGAGTTTGGGTCTAGTGGCTTCGACAGGTGTCTGCGGGAGCCATGCCTGCCTTGGGGAGGAGCTCCCCACTGCCCTGCCCATCATGAGTTGGAGGCAGTGAGGGTCCAGGACACTGGAGAGGGTGGGAGAATGGGGAGGCCAGGTGCTGGAGGGAGCTCCACATCCCGGCCCTCTCCTATACGTACCTACCCATCGGGCATCTTTATTTTCCCATCAAATCTGATTAAAGCCAGAATGAGACACCACTCCACACCCAGGAGGACAGCTAATCTTTAAAGGCTGACCATGTCAAATGGAGGTGGGGATAGGGGTTTGCAACTTAGTGTAATTCCGTTAGTGATTGGAAGGGAGCAGAGTGTGGCAAGGGTCCCCCTCTTGACCTGGGAAGCAGTTCCACAGGTGTGTTCATTCTGTGGTCCTCTATCCAGGTGGACACTTAGAACTGGGACTCTTATTTGTTTTTATTTTCTTCATAACTCAACGCTATGCTTCTCCATTTTCCCCAATAGACTGTGAACTTGGCCGTCCTGGTCACTTTTTTATTCCCGTGACATTGCACATGGTAGTTGCTCACCAGGGATTGATGGCTGAACGTGTGGTCCTGTGCTTTACAGAAGCAGACATGCCACTCCTCTGACAGGTTTTACGTACGACTTAGTTCAACTTGAAAATCCACTGGCACAGAACTTCCCAGGACCATACTGTATGTCAAAGAGGCCTCCTGTCACCATAGGCCCTTCCACTGCTGGACAAGGGGAAGGTCTTGACGGAAGCCAAAAGGGAGGAATATGAGGAAGGCCCTTCCCTTTTCCTAAGTGGAAGCTGCACCTCGTTTCACCAGAAGGTCAGCAGTAGACAGCAGAGACGGACATTCCCCCACCAGCCCAGAACATAGTCAGAGTTATGGTCAAATCAGGGTCCTGGGAAGAAGCTCTGGAGTGTGATCCTAGGTGCTCCAAAACAGCCAAGCCATCTGGTCTTCAGTGCACAAAATTCTTTTAATGAAAGCAAAGCCTTTCCATTCCTATTTAAAGAAAATAGGCTTCCTCCATCTTCTCTCTAAATCCTCCGTCTGTGTCACTACCCATCTTTACTTCCTGATGGCTACCTCCTAGGTCAAAGGCTACTATGCACGAGGGTTCCCAAGTCCTCCCCATCTCCCCAGGCTGTTCCTTCGCCAGTCTTCTCTGTCTTGCGTTGTTCAGTTCTTTGGCGTCCATCTGCTTTTCTATCTTTCTATCAACTACAGAGAGAAATGTCTGACTACAAATTGAGGAACTATTTCTCTTGCAGTTCTGTAAGGTTTTTTTAAACATTTTTATTTGTAGATGGACACAATATCGTTATTTTGTTTATTTAGGGGTTTTTTTTGTTGTTTTTTTAAACGTGGTGCTGGGGATCCAAACCAGTGCCTCACGCATGCTAGGCAAGCGCTCTATCACTGAGCTGCAACCCAAGCCCCAGTTCTGTAAGTTTTACTTCATGTATTTTGAAGTTCTGTTGGTAGGTGCTACATGCTACATTGTTCAGGGTTCTTCTGAGACAGGAAAAAAAAAAAAATATATATATATATATATATATATATATATATATATATATATATATGAATTTTTTGAAGATATAAGGGACGCCTTAGGGGAATTGCCTCACATAATCATGGAGGCTGAGGAGTCCCATGGATTCCAGTCTTGGAAATCAGGGATCCTCCTTTCTCCAGTGTTGAAGATTAAACACCCAAGAAACCCTGAGGCAAGCACAAAAAGCAAGTTGTGAGGGAGAGAAGGAGGTGGCTGTGTCTTGCCTTTTTATAGATCCAGGTTTCCTCTCCCTCCCCACCTGCCTAAGGGCAGGAAAAGAGCAGCCCAGGTGGGTAATCATTAGCAACTCCGTGTTGGAGGATCATTCTGGAGGTGTTAGCAACCCATTTCCTTTTCTTTGATAATTAGCCAATCAGTCCTCGTCTCTCCCAGGGATCATTCACTGTCAGTGGTGACCACTTGTCCTCTGCCCCTGTCTCACCATGACAGGCTGTCTGCAAGCAAGAGACCCTGATATGACAGTAGCATGGCTCCATGCAAGTTCAAAGGTCCAGGAATGAGCCTTGGAGCCCAGATGCTGCAGAATCTGAGTTCTGATGTCCAGGGACAGGAAAACAATCATGTACCCAGCTGTTCTGTCCTGATCCCCAGCTGATTGAGTAATACCTGTCCAAACTGATGGCAGGTCTTCCCATTTAGTTCATTTAGGCTCACATGCCGATCTTCTCAGAAAACCCCTTACAGACACACCTAAAAATAATGTCTTACCAGTTCTCTAGGCTAATCCAATCAAGTTATCAGTTAAAATTAGCCACCACAATGTATAAATTAGAAGTGTTATGTTCTGGGCTGGGGTTAGGGCTCAGTGGTACAGCATTTGCCCAGCACATGTGGGGCACTGGGTTCAATCCTCAGTACCACATAAAAATAAATAAAACAAATGTATTGTGTCCATCTACAACTTAAAATAATTTTTTTAAAAAAGAAATATTCTTTTGATTTAAACCTAACCATATCAATAATCACATTAAATGTTAAAGCTCTAAATACACCAATTAAAAGGCAGAGATTGTCAAATGAATGAAAAACAAAAAACAAGACCCAACTCTATCCTACACAATAGAATTCTACTGAAAAATAAAGACATAATCAGTTAAAAGTAAAGAATAGAAAAATACACAATATTAACTCTGATTTTTAAATGATGGAAGGATGTATTGAAAGAAGGTCATTCTAAAGGGGTCCTAACAATTCTGAACAGTTTACCCTTTCACTTCCTTCTCATAAAACAGCCAAAGCAATCTTTAAATTCAGAGTTTTCCTTTCAATACAGTAAGACTAAGTTCATATGTTTGAATGCCTATTCCAACAACAAAGGGGATGGGAGAACAGTTATCAAGTTTTTGTCTGTCTGCTTTTAAACTTTTCTTTTTGTACTGGGAATTGAACCTGGGGTGCTTTACTTACTAAGATACTTTCTTTTTATTGTTCATTTGAGACAGAGTCTCACTAAGTTGCTGAGGTCAACCTCAAATTTGTGATTCTCCTGCCATAGTCTCCTGAGTGCTGGGATTACAAACATGTGCCACTGCACCTGGCTTAATTTTTTAATTCTTGAAAAGAAAGCTCATGAAATTCTTTTTTCAATACTAGGGATTGAACCCACAGTCTCATGCATGCTAGGCAAGCATTCTACCACTGAGCTACACCCTAGCCCTTTTTATTTTTATTTTGAGACAGGATCTTGCTATGTTGCTCAGGCTGGACTTGAACTTGCCATCTTCCTGCCTCAGGCTCCGGAATAGCTGGAATTACAGCTGTGCACCACCATGCCTAGTAAAACATAATGTTTTAAATCAGGGTGGTGGGCTGGGTGTCGTGGCACATACCTGTGTTCCTGTGACTCAGGAGATTGAGCCAAGAGGATAGTAAGTTTGAGGCTATTCTCAGCAACTTAGCCAGATCCTGTCTCAAAATAAAAAACAAAAAGGGGTTGGGGATACAGCTCAGTTGGGAGAGTGCTTGCCTCACGTGCACAAGGCCCTGGGTTCAATCCCCAGCACCACCTAAATAAATTAAAAGGACTAGAGTACCTTTGGGTTCAATCTCCAGTGCTACAAATAGAAGAGAGAGAAAAAGAGACCACCATTATCTTTTTTTTTTAAACTGGGGTGGGGGGAAGCACAGCAGGGAGTGTGAGCATGGAGTACTAGGACCCTGGCACATTCTAAGAGCAGGATCACGAAAATAGGTGGAGGGAGGGAGTGGAACTGAGAACCCAGTGCCAGGAGTCCTCTTGTTCATGGCCCCCACCCACCCACGGAAGATTCTTCTAGAGCAATAAAGCAAACAGCTGGAGCACAGGCCCTGGCACCTCACCACAAAACCTGACTCTTGGCATTGGAGGGGGCCATCGTCATAAAACCAGCTGCCTCTTTCTCTGCAAAAGGGAAGTATCCCCTGGAGGAGCCCCGATGACATCCACAGAGCCCTGGCCCCACTTCACCCCTTCACTCCTCAGGAAATCATCAGCCACAAAAAAACAACAAAAAAGAAAACTGACACCAGAGGAAACCGTCCAAGGAAGAGAAGTCAGGTCTCCATTCACTGATCTCAGAAACATTCACTGTTATTTCATCCATAAGAACAGGATGTGAGGGGGCTGGGGTTGTGGCTCAGTGGTACAGCGCTTGCTTAGCATCTGTGAGGCAGTGGGTTTGATCCTCAGCACCACATAAAACTAAATAAAGGTACTGTGTCTATCTACAACCAAAAAAAGCTAAAAAAAAAAAAAAAGAATAGGATGCTATAAAAAAAGATTAGAAAGCTCTTAAATATAAGATTTTAAATAAAATATTTTAAAGTTTTAAATAAAATTTATTTTTAAAAAATAAAGAGGATTGGAATATAGAGAAACTGTTTCAGAGCATAACAGAGATTGAATACAAATAAAAGGGGGCCGTGGACTAGAAGACAAAGACCCAGAGCTCCACGGGAGGAGGCCAAACCTCTGACAGATACGAGATCCTCGGAGGAGGAAACAGAAACACATGAGCAGAAATCATCTCTAAAAACTATGAAATGAAACTTCCCAGGACTGAAAGGAGACATGAATTTACAGATTTAAAGGGCCTAACAATTGTCAGATAGAATTAGGAACTAATTCTAATTAGGAACACACATCCCGGAGAAGTTTCCTGATATCAGGCCAGGCATGGTGGCGCATGCCTGTAAGCCCTGCCTCTGAAGCAGGAGAATCACAAACTGGAAGCCAGCCTCAGTGACTTAGAGAGACCCTGTCTCAAAATAAAAATAAAAAGTACTGGGGTTGTAGCTCAGGGTTAGAGCACCTAGCATGTGTGAGACCCTGAATTTAACCCCTGGTAGCGCACACATGCACACACACACACACATACACACCATCTTCTTTCCATTTCAGCTGCTGACTTTATTCATGTGCAGTAGCACATGCCTGTAATTTCAGTGGCTTGGGAGGCTGAGGCAGAAGGAAGGTGCTAAGCAACTCAGTGAGACCCTGCCTCTAAATAAAATGTTAAAAAGGGTTGGGGTCATGTCTCAATGGTTAAGCAGCACTGCCCCTGAGTTCAATCCCTGGTACAAAAGAAAAAAGAAAAAGAAAAGATTAAAAACATCCAGAAAGGGAAGAACACGAGATCATGTAGACCAACTGGTGCCTCTTCTCCACTCCCTTCCCAGTACTTCTCAGAGCACGTGACTGTTACTAACTTGGACATACTTTCTTCTGACTCCTTCATTAGAGAGATCTCACCCAGGTCGTCCTCTGCTGCACATGCAGGGTCGGGGTAAATTACAAGTAAACTATAGGTCTGCATTTTACCTGGGGGCGAGCAGGGAAGACAGGAATCACCGGGGCTCCTTGGCTAGCTGGCAAGTCCACTTTGACCGCGCTGCGGAACAAACGTCTGCTGCCTCAGCAAGTTCAAGTGCCTGAGGGTGGAGGGGAAAGGACGCAACAGGGGAAACAGGGTCAGGTGCCAAGGTTGTCAGGGGTCAAGGTAATAGGTCTTACACCACCTGGCAGCTACACAGCCCAAGGGCACTCGTGGGAGGCCTCAGTCCAGAAGCTGCATTTGGAGAGCAAGTGGAATTAACTCAAAGCTCAGGGGGTCACTGGAGTCTGGGGGAGATGAGGGCACAGCAGGGAGGGCAGTGGGACAAGGAGGAGACTTGGGAGCCCCGGAGCAGCCGGTTCCTTAGTCACCCTGTCCATCCAGACCCAGTGGGCCCTGCTCTGCTTAAGCTCAAGGTTAGGTCAGCAGTGGACACTCAGCCCAGACCCCTCTGCATAGACTCACGGCCACTCACCTTCCCTCCCTGCTCCCTGGGCTGCTGTCGGTCACTGTTCTCAGCCATAACTTACTCTGCTGGTTCCAATTCCAATGGCAGGGAAAGAATGACAGGTTCACCCAGCCTCCGCCCCTCCACCGTGAGGAGCAATCTTCCTGTCTTATTTCCTCTTTCCATTTCAGCTGCTGACTTTATTCACTCCCCAAAGACCAAACCACAAAACCAGAGCAGTGTGCGAGGGCCAAGGTCAAACAGAATTCAGCGCCGCTCAAGGCGTGCACCTTCAGTCCACGGGCAGCTGGATCCATGGAGCACACCCAGCAGACCAGGCAGGAGAACTGGACAAGCGTGAAATGACGACAGGAACCTTAGGAGCCACAGGAGGTGATTGTATCAACCTGTGTCGAGGAAGACAGTCCTAATTCAAACGCAATAATGACCCCACAGTTCTACTCCTGGGGATATATCCAAGAGGATTGAGAGCAGGCGCTCGAATATGAATGCGCTGTTGATGAACCCACAGCAGCGTTATCACAACAGCCAAGAGGTGGGAACAGCCCATTTGTCCGTCTACAGAGAAATGGAGAAACAAAATGTGATGTCTCAGGACAACGGAACCCAAGCTACAAAAAACATTCAGGTACTTCTACAGTGTGGATGAACCTCCAAGGAAAAATTGTGCCAAGTTATAGAAACCAGACACAAAAGGTCACGTATTGAATGACGTCGTGCGTGTGAAATTGCATGATGTTTTTAAGATTCATCCACGTTGTAGCATGTACCAGTCCTTCGTTATATACCTCCTGGTGCCCTGCTGTACCCACCTGATCAGATTGGTGGTTGCCAGGGCCCAGGGGGAGAGAAATGAGGAGTGAATCCTTAATAAGCAGGGGGGTTCTTTTGGGGTGATCAAAATATTTTGGAACTACATTGATGTGGTGGTTGTGGAACGCTATGAATGTGTTAAATGTATTAAATGCTACTGAACCGTGTGCTTTAATGTGGTTGATTTTATTTTACCACAGTTTAAAAGTGGCTAACTCTGTGTTATGTGAATTTCATCTTAATTTTTTTTAAATGCAACGCTAAAGAGTCTTCTAAGGCGCGTAACCAAAGAGGAGAAAAGGAGCTCACAGCCTGAGGCTGCAGCTAGGAAGGAGGAGGCAACAGAGGGACTCAGCAGGGGGACCCAGACACCCCTGCTGTTCCTCTCTAACCACTCATGGAGGAAGAGAAATCGCCAAGCGATGGCACTCCCAGGGGTCCTGAGCACCAAACTGGAGGAGGTGGAGGACAAGAGACACCCCTGCTCTGCCTCCCTCCGAACCCTTCAGTAAAGATGCAAAACCACCAACACCTGTGGGCAATGGGGGGGGGTTTGCTGGGAAACTGAGGAGACTGAGCTCTGTGACTGGGTTGGCACAGCGTGGGACACACGTAGACTCAGAAGCCAGGATCCGGGAAAGAGTGATTGATAACTGAGTTCTATAAAAAAGAAAGCTCCATTTAGTCTGAAATCATGACAGGGCCCAACCCCTTATTACAACCTTCAAGACCATTGGCCAGAGGCAAGTGAGAAAGCACCAACCAGGAGCAAACACAAGTGCGTCAGCTTATGGGCACAGCAAGTGGCATGGAAGAAAGAAAAGGAAGCCAGGCATGGTGGTGCACACCTGTAATCCCAGCGACTCAGGAAGCTGAGGCAGGAGCATCGCAAGTTTGAGGCTAGCCTCGGCAACTAAGTGAGTGACTTAATGAGACCTTGTCTCAAAATTTTAAAAAAAAAGGACTGGGGATGTGGCTCAGTGGGTTCAATCTCTAGTGCCAAAGAAAAGGAAAAAAGAAGAGCTAGAGGGAAATTCTGAAGGCTCTCTCTCTCCACCCCAAAACAGCTCCTAGGAAAGAGCTCAGGCAAGATGGGCTCCCTCAGAACAGCCCTCCCACTGGGACCAAAAGGCTCCAAGAAAAGGCCACCGGCACCCAGCACCCCTCCCAGCTTGGGGCTCCTCTCTGCAGTTCCCGCCACCTGCTAAGCTTTTCCCTGGAGCATCAAATGGTTCTTTCTTCCTTTACTTGGTTTCTGCTCAAATGTCAGCTCCTCAGAGAGGCCTCCTCCCCTACCTAGGAGACCTGAAGATTCACCTGCTGCTCAACCACGGACACCTGGTGCCCGCTGCAAGGCATCCCCCCAACTCCACTTCCCACCAAAGAGACTGCACAAGAACCAGCTGAAATCTAAGGGTTAGCCCTGTGGACACAACAAGAAGCGATCGACCCGCTTTCCCAGGGAGTCGCAAAATCAGAGGGACCACAGGGCCATAGTGGTCTGTCCTCCCCTGAACCTTAAAGCAACTGTTCCAGCCACTGATGCTCTAAACAGAGAATTACACTGTTCATATCCCACCTTCCACAACAAATGCCAAGGGGAGGTTCAAACAGTGCTCAGGGACGCAGGTGCTATGTCTGACTCTAGAACGACCCTCAGAGGCCCACGTGTAACAGTCCTCAGCTTGGTGCTGGGGTGGGGGGCAGTACTTAAGAGCTGGAGGCCTACTGGGAGGTCTTTAGGTCATGAGGGGCCTTCCCAGAGGACACAGAGGTATCCCAAACCCTTTCTCCTTTTTGCTCCCCGCCATGAAATGAGTAGATCTGTCCTGCCATGTGCTTCTGCCTCCACAGGCCCAAGAACCTTGGGCCAACAGACCCCAGACTGGAAGTCCAGTAGCCAAAATGAACCTTCTCTGTTTCTAAGTTGATCATCTCAGGGATGAGTTACAGTGACAGAAAGCTGACACACTAGGAAGAGAGATTCCAACAGACACCCCACGTTTCCATCACCTCTGAAAGTGAGCCAGGCTCCTTTGCCACCTATCCCTCCTTTCTCCCCCAGCCCCAGTAACTACTGTGCAGCTCCATTTATATAGAGCTCTAGACCACGCAAACAGGAGTGATTTCACCTTGTCACTTCTCATGTGTTATGCCTTGTGTTCATTTTTCTTGCCTATTGCGAGATCCATAACCCTTTAACCCTGCTGGATGGAAGTGTTGGAAGCGAGCATGTTTATTGCAAATCTGGGGGAACAACTTGGTCTTTCACCTTCTGCCTGATGTTCGTCAGTATCCTTAGAGAAGACCAAATGAAGGATGGAGGTCACCAATTCCTGGCTATACGACAATGTCTTTCTGTTGACTTGTCACATGAATAATAACTTGGCTGGGTATAGAAAGTTGGATGAGATAGCACCCCTCAATCAAAGCCCTCAACAGACATTGTCACATTTTCTTCTTCCTTTTAAAATGGCTAAGAACTCTGAAGTCAGACTAATGTTTCCCTAGCAGACAATCAATTTCAACCATATTCCTTTTAACCTTGTCTTGCAATAATTTTACTCAGAGTTTATAGTTCCTTATTTTTGTCCTGAATAATAAAGGACTCCTTTGATGAACAAATATATGCCTTCCTTTATTTCCAGAATTTCCATTTTTATTATACAGTTTAACTTTTTTCCTATTCAATCTTCTCCACCATATTTTTAGGGCTACAAACTAGCTGTACTTAGTTATTTGGTCTGTCTGTCCCCCATATTGAGAATTGCTCTTCCTTGGGTGGAAATGTTTGTTATCTTTATAGTAGTGATGGTTTCACAGGGGTGTGGCTCTGTGTGTGTGTGTGTGTGTGTGTGTGTCTACATAAACTTCCAAACTCCACATTTATATATGTGCAGCTGCAATATAATTAGAAAAATCTGCTTGAAGATGGAATCTGTTTGAAATTAAAATAAATAACTCAGAAGTGAGGAAGTCATACAGTGAATAATCATCATTGAACACTGAACTTGTTACATAATAGTGACACCTAAATAATGCAGAAATTAAATTCTAAGGCTATGATCAATATGATTCCTGGGAAAGAGAGGAGCATTTAATTATTTTTAATTGGTAATGACATAGAATAGGACAAAACTCCAGGAGAAGCAAAGACAATCGAGGGAGAGAAAACAGAGAGGGCTAGTTATGCCCTCGAAATTGGTACACCGTGAGAGACACACTCAGCACACTACTGAAAGTTGCAGAGTAATTACTAGTCCAAGGCCGGGGGCTGCAGGTCTCCCTGACTCAAGGGAAAAGAAGTCAACATCAGAAAAGGGGGAAACCAAAGACATAGCAAGAACACCTTAAAAAGACAGACTCACCCCCCTTCTCTTCCCGATGAAGGCAGTCCAGTAATACAGTCAGACAAACTTAATAAAAGCCAAAAATATGCATAGTGAATTGAAAAAAACAAAATCTAAATGCATACTTATTTATTAAAAGCAAGTTAGAAAAGCTGAAAAAAACTTAGGAAAAAAAAAACTTAGAAAAGCTGAAAGTCAAATTAAAGCAAAATTAGAGGCAAAATGATGGTACCTAAATCCAAAGAAAACAAAGTAAGTGATATTCATCTCCAAGGAAGCTGGCTTCAAGGAAAACTCATCAGGTTATGTACAAGAGTCACTTGTTCTGATAAACTTTATCATTCACAGGAAAACACTATTTCTCAGGAACCAGAATAAATGACAGAAACACATTAATAGCAAGATATATAAACTCAATTCCTTCAGACCTAATCATCAAACAAGATGGTCTGAACAACAGGCTAACCAAGACTGAGCACCTACATGTATATCTAATCCTATGCCCTGAAAAGAGAGAGAAAATACAGTGCACTGTCTTTTTAAAAGCAGCAAAAGACTTACAGTTTTACAATATGTAGGATCGGGAGGAAAACCTCAGTGAATTCTTAGAAGTGAAATACAAGCCACATTCTCAACCTGTAATAAAACTAAAATTAATAAAGTCGAAGCAAAAACATTAATAGTCAACCTATTGGAAATGTAAAAAAATCTTGTTTTTCCTTATTTTAAAGAGGAAATCCAAGGACGACTGCAACCCTTCTAGGAAATTACAATAATGAGGATATTACGTGTCGGAACCCCACGGGAGAGGGGCAGAGCTGAGGGCAAAATAATCATCACATCCTCGAACACTTGGCGGAATGCAAAAACTAATCAAGCATTTTGGGGGAAACTTGGAAAAATTAGTACAGAACTTAAAGAAGACAGAAGGGGGAAACACAGCAAGAACTGATAATGAATTCAGGATTTATTTTCTTATTGAAAAACCGGCCACAAATAAGCTTGATCTTTTTTCTAAAGGTAGGGAATGGGGGAGCACAAATACATAAAACTAGGATTAAGCACCGAAATAATCACAAGACAATGCTTAGGCAACTCTGCTAGTTAAGGATCTTGTAAGAAAGTCTCTCTTACTTACTAAAACTGCCGAGGAAGTGACAAAAAAAAAAACTAGCAGGTCTTGGTAAACACTGGAAAAGGTGACAGTGACTATTCCCAAGCTGATTCGATGGCAAGTTTTTCAACTTTCAGAAGGCAGGTGCTACCAGATGCAGTAGCGCACATCTGTAACCCGACAGCTTGGGAGCCTGAGGCAGGAGCATCAAAAGTTTGAGGACAGCCTCAGCAACTGAGCAAGACCTTGTCTCAGGAATGTGGCTCAGTGGTGGAGGGCTTGCCCAGCATGTGCAAGGCCCTGGTTTCAATCTCCAATACTACCAAAAATAAAAATACATAAATAAAAATGTTTTAAAAACTGGAAAGATGCTTTTAAGTAGAATATAATGTGGTGAAATTTCTTTAAAATGATAACATACTGTATGGACATGTGTGGACACTTACACACACATTAAAACCAATCAAACACAAAGCCCAGACGGAGACAATGGCAGCAGGGGTCGAAGTGGGAGCAGAGGTGGCAGCGAGGGAGCCCAAAATGCAGTAGGAGAGAGGTGGCCCAGCGTGCCCAGGGGCAACAGGGCTCCGGGCAGGAAGGGTGAAGGAGAACCACCTACTCAGAATGAAAGGAGAAGGGAGACAAACCTAAAAAGAGGAGGCAATCGCTTTGAGCCATATGTGAATCCAAC